AACGAAGCGAGTATAATTAGGAGGGAAGCATTTTTATTGGATGAAAAATAGAGCACTTTAATTATTATTTTATTTTTCGACCGGAACACGTGTGTCGGAACATTTGTAAAGAAAGTTAATGGTCATTTTGTGACGGGGCTTTGTCCCGTTCACATCTGGTTCTCACTCTTGAGTATTTGCCTGTAAATCAGCCGAGATATGTCATTTTATTTATATAACAAAAGTGAAATTATTTACATTTAAGTGAACAAATTATTTACCTTGTTATTTTTAAGAAAAACTTTCAGTGCTCTAATTTTTTTTTTTTGTACTTAGCTTTCACCTTTACGTTGCTTTATGTAAAATATATTATAAAGAGATTAAAATAAGACTGTTGATAGTGAGATTAAATTTCATAAGAAAGTTATCTAATTAATTTATAGGTACCTTTCTTATGAAATTTTATCAGAAGTGTACATAAGATACTATAATTTTATGTACATTTACATTTTACTGTGTTATTTGTATTTCCATTCATATTATTATTAATTTTGATATTTCATTTATGGAAATAATGCCATAACTGAGATTAATATAAAAATAAGATCATATAAATTTCATAAGATGATACTGATACTTGTAGGTACCCTTCTCAGTTGAAATTGAAAAATCAAATTAACTTCTCCACACATGTTTTGCAAAAGTAAAGGCCTTAACAGTGGAGAACAATGCTTAACTCAAATAATGCAACTTAATTGTATTCTGGTTGGTCTTCCGTACTTTATAATTACAGCCCGATTATAAACACAAAATTACATTTCTTAATTACTGCGGGTCTACTGACTAGTCAAAACGATACAATTTACAACGCGCTAAAAAAAGATCTATCTCATAAGGACACTTACAAGAGTGGATGCGGCTTTTAACTAATTTTATAATATTTTAACAACTTAAATGTAAAAATCTACTATAATTAAAAAATAAATAATTGTATTAAAAATTCATTTTTCATTGAAAAATTTTTTTGCTTTCAGAAAATATTGTCCATATTTATAAAAACATCTAAAAGCAAATAAAAGTATTTGAAATTAAATAATATCTTTGTTTTATTGAGTTTTGTATGTTACAATTCAGAGCTGATTTTCAGGTAGTGGGGGTCCAATTAAAAACAAAAAAAAAAGCATGATTTGCATTCCTTGTGTTTTTAACTATTGTAATTACTAAAGTGAACTCAATTGAATTTCTAGAGTTTTCATAAAATTAGTTATGGGGGGGTAATATATATATATAAAAAAAATATTTCTGCCATGACTTTAATAAAAGAAAACATTTATAATAATTTTGATCATCTGTGAATAGTTTCTGAAAGTTTCATTAACATCTGACAATTATTTTTATTTTTGCAAGATTTTCCAAATGAAGGTGTGTCATACAAAAGAAAAACGTGCTAAAAATTGTATGTTATTTTACTAGTTCCAGTGATACAAAGAGAAACAAGGATTTTTAAATGAAAATTCAGTTTGTTCTAAAAAACTTTGATCTTTCCTCTTAATAGTAACATAAACATTTAGATGATAAAATTTTGTTTTTGTCAAGTTTGGCATCTTTTTCATCATGCTATGCTCTTTTTTTAGTGATCTTGTGGAGGTACCTATAAAATCTTGTTTTATGTCTGTTCAACTTGACCAGTGCTGATCTTACTTCAGATTTTAATAATCCACATTCGTCTATGTTTTTGTGTTTCCATGTTTCATTGTGGAGGAGTTCTTGATGTATTTGTCCCATTTTTTGAGCATTTTTTTCTGACTCTGTTATAAGTGTTCTCTTTTTCAGTTTCATATTGCTTTTGTTCCATTACTTCTTTTATTATTTTATTCATCCTTGTTGTATCTATGATGTTCATATCTCTTTACACTTTTCATTGTGACAGTCATCTTTTACCGGTCTGCATTTGCTTCTAATGTACTTGTATTTAATGTTTTATATTCTGTACCATTTCTTGGTATCGCTTGCTGTCTCTCTTTTTAAATGTATGTGGTAGGGAAGAGGGAAGCTGAAAGATGGTCAGGCAGAAAGAAATGTTAATTTTTCTTTTTCATTTTTCTCATGCTAACAACTTAATCTCCAAGTTGGCTAGGTCAGTAAGACATCAACTTTATCAGCATATTAATTTCTACTAATTTTTATATCAATATATTTATTTATAGACAATATTGTTACAATGAAATATGTCCCAAGTTTTAATTAAATTAAATGGCACTGTAAACAGGCTGTATGCTTTGTTAAATATCATTAATTGCATATTGTCATCTTTGAAAAATGACTACTAATGGAATTTCTTCTCCACTAATTTCTTTGAGTTGGGTGCCTACCATAATGTAGTGGTTAACAAGTTAATCTTGCTGACCAAATTGCTCTTGTAATGAGTCTGAGCTGCTACTAGGTGCTCTACATTTGTTGCCTTGTGTCACACTAAGCTAAACTTAGTAAATAATCACTTTTGTAAGAAGTAACAATACTGGTGCCAATTTCAGAAATATACATATACCATAAGAAGAAAGAAAAAATATTAGCAAAACTTAATCTCTTAACTGCAGTAGAAAAAAAATCTGTCATTCAGATTTGTGTCACTAAATCATAGTAATATTATAAATGGCCTCAACGACAGAATGGAGCCATATTTTTTATTGTGCATGTGTGTGTTAAAAATAAAATATATACGCTTATTATATACATATTTTACTATGGCCCATATCTTTCAGATTTATACATAAAATATATGTTGGACTTTGCATAATAAAACTTGACACCCTGAAACAAGTTATTAGGAATAATATTTCTGGTAAGGCTAAACATTATAAGTGAAAACTCACATGAAATATTCCTCATAAATATAAGTGTATATATTGTGAAAAACATTGACCTGCAAAATAAAATAACATAGCATTACACACACACACACACACACACATATATATATATATATATATATGTATATATATGTGTGTATGTGTGTGTATGCGTATTTAGGCAGCAATCTTTCTTTCATGCACATTTCATTGAGTATCACAGACATGGTGCTTTGATTTAGTTTTTTATACAGTTTCACATGTGATCTAATATTTTTTTCTTTTCAGATGATAAATTATATAAAAACTGAATGTTCTTTTTTTCTGAGCACTTTTGGTTATACATTTAGCCATTTTCAAGGTTGAAATATTTTAACTGTTAACAAGAAATAGTTTGTTGTATGTATGTATTTATATAATGTTTTCAGAAATTGTATAAAAAACTAAATCAAAGCACCTTGTCTGTCAAATTCAATGAAATGTGCATATACATATTATATATATATATATATAATACACATATATTAAAATAACAAAGATGGAATCATATTTTTAAAAAAGAAATTAAGTATAATATATATATATATATATAAAAACTGTATAAACCTTTTGAAACTGATTTTTTAGTTTGTGTGTGCATTTGTGCAGTTAAGTGTGTATGTGTATTTTCACAGACAAAGTAGAACTTTATAAATAAAGAGGACTCACTGGATTGAAGGTAACATGCTCTTTAGCTGGTGTACTACTGGTGAAGGGAAGCTTTCCTCCACTACAGGGAGCTGGCCATGATTTGCGACTGAAATAGATCATGAAAAAGGGTTTAGGAATACAAAAGTGAGACAAAGAAGAGATCACTAGTATCATCAATCTTAGAGAAGACAGGACACTTGAGCACGGAGGTAATTACATGAACCTAAAAATACTGGCGGACAATTAGCAACAAACAAGTCCTGGTCATGATGCCTCAGTGCCATCGTATTTTTTTGTCAAACTGAAAACAACATGGATTCTGTCCAGCTCTAGTTTATCTATTTCAAATACATGATAACAAAATCAATCATTCTATGATTCTTTTTTTTTATCACAATGTTTCAAGTAGTGGGCTCTCCAACCTTTCTCAATTGAATGTTTCATCATGTAATCTTTAAGAACTTTCTAAATTAATTCTTTATCTTTTTGCTGCAGGAAGCAAACCAAAATTACATCTATATATGAATTTTAATCAAGTAAAAAAACAAAAATATTATCAAAATAAATAACTAAGTTCAAAGCCTCTTGAAGATTACCAGATGTAACTTATACTTGAGAAAGGCTGGAGAATACAGCAGCCGAAATGCTGTGAGCAAAACATGATATATTATGATACTAAATTAAGTGTATTTGAGCAGCAGTTTTTCATTTATTCAAGTTTGGCTTAAGAACAATGAAAGTTCTTTCTTTTTTTCTATATGCCATTTTCCTGGTTTCCAGTGATAATTGGAATATAAATTTTCTAATGTCTCAATATTTTTAGCTTTCAAAAACCATCATCAAAAAGGCCTTGTGTATGTGCATGTGTGCACATGTGTGTGTGTGTGTGTGTGTGTGTGTGTGTGTGTGCATATTGTATTTTTTGTGGTATATCAGTTTCTTCTTTTTTCAAATATCACATCTTCATATGTCATGTTGTATCTTCATGTATTACTTTGCTACTGCATTGCTTTTTATTAGTTATAAAATATATTTAGTTTGTTTATTCCAAAATTTGACGAAAATTTTATTGATGTTTTGTTGTTTGTTTTCCTGCTTCTAGTATTTGTTTTTTCAATTATTTCTACATGTTTTATTCATAAAAGTATTTGTAGGATTTCTTTTGTTTTGTTGGTTGGTTATATACAATTTCTAATGAATTGTTATCAGATAATGTTAGTTTTGTGTTTTTGCTTAGTGCCATTTCAACCTCTATGAGTTATTTAATGCCAAAATCTAAATATTTTGTATGCAATCTTTTTTTTGAGAAAAAAATGGTTTGAGTGATACAAGTCTTACTAATTAGCCCATAGATGGAGATTCATACCTTTCCCATGGGTATTTACATGAAAGTGAATATAACAGGCCCAATAGGAATTGGAACCCATCTCACTGATTAACAATTTTGAGCCATTATCCATTATACCACCTGCACATCCAAGTTTACAGCACCTGGTATTCCCAAGTGGTCACCCATCTAGGCTCAATATTGCTTAACTTTGGTGATCATATTGGAACCGGTGTTTCAAGATGATGTGGTCATAAGCCTTGTCATAAAATAAATGGTAAGTTAATCAGTGTGATAATGTAGTGGTTGTGCAACCAATGCATGTGTTGTTTCAATTATTATTATTAGACATTCTCCAAGTAGGCAAGTGAATTCATAGATAACTTTAGTTTGTTGAAGTTTTGATTCTTTTATATTGGCTTATGAAAACTGAAAGTTCTAAGAAATATGACAATTTATATTTAAATTTTAACAGGAACCCAGGAAATAACTTATTGTTGTTTAACTTGTATAAATGGTACTAAACATGAAGGCATCAAATATAATATAGATAACATGGTACATTGATCATAGCCAATTGCAAATCATCTGCCATTTCATCTAGAATAAAGGCAGGGAGTGAGAAAACAAGCTTAAAATTTTACAAAAACTATCCTTATTTTTGACATTTTGTAAATTTGAACAAAGGAGAACTGTTAGGAAATCAGGATTTGGGTGTAAAAATTCTGTATATTTCAAAAGAGTTGGTGATATTTAGCTGAAGTACTTTTTTTACCTTTCAGTCATCAGCCTTTCACTACTATATTTGCTATTACTATAGCAGATGTTTGCATGAGTTACATTCCTTCGTGCCACCAGCCCAAACCTTCACAGCTAAGACCTGCCATTCTATATTCCCAGTGGCAAACCATCAAAGTTTGCTTTCTGTTCCTTTGATAAAAAAGCAAGTTTTGCTTGGTCAGTTTCTTCCCCAAAACTATTACTTTGTGGAACAAACTCCAGAGAGAATACTTTCTTGACAACTATACTCTTTAATCCAGGATCAACTGATATCTATCCTACTTGTCCTCATAATACTCTCTCTCACAATCTCACTCAGTAACTCTCTACCTTGAGTGGCCATTGGGCCTTGTATTCAGTGAACTATCAGTAAATAAAAATATTTTAAAATATGAATCTTATATAATCATGAACAATGTGACTTTCTATGTTTCTTAGTTTCTCTGTTCATAACTCGACATGCAAAAGCAAACCACTATGCAAAATTAATAGATGAATCTGACTGATTTAAACATCTGACCCAGAGGCAAATGACATTTCCATTAGGCCATCATTCCACTGCTTAAGCAATATAGGAAAATTAACTAGCAAATACCATTATGTAAAATACTATGCTGATACTAAGCAGAGGGCTTGAAAAATGTTAAACAGAGCAGAGTACACAGATATCCTCTGATCCTAAATAGAAGTGTCAAACCATATATGAATAATTCTGTCATTTTTATGGACATTCTCATGGTGAAATAATAATAATAATATCATTTGTGAACTTAAGACAATGCACTGAACTTTGTCAATATTGAGTTATAAATAGTTTTTCAAGCTGTAAACTTATCCAGACTAATAGGTTTAACTTCATTATTTTTTTATTATCTTTCAGCATATTTCTGAGTGTATGTGTGTGTAATCTGTTTACTATATAAAGTTACAATAAGAATGGGATTAATCTGCATGCTGCGTGTGTGTAGCATGTAATCTTGCTGTGTTAAAAGTTCAGGGTCTCATGATTTCTCCTTTTTCTTAGAAATGAGTCATGTTTTTTCATGAGAATATTTTGATGTTGTAAAGTCAGAAAGTTGAATGTTGGCCTTTGCTCATCTAACAATTATTATTATTATTATTATTATTATTATTAATTATTACTATTATTATTATGGTAAACTCTTCTCTAACATGCTGCCTACATCTTCATGTGAAATGGACACATAATATTCTTTGGCCTTTTCAAGTCACTGGCAAAAGACCAGAGAAAAAATATTTCATATTTAATTAATGTTAGGAGGGAAGCCTGAAAAATGATTAGTCTTTTTTATTTTTATGCCACATTTCTCTATTTGTTTCTAGTGATGCTTGCTTAAAAACAATGAAATAGTTTATGCTGTTAATCATTTAGACTAGCATCATTTCTGGCTTTCTTAAAGTTTGGAAATAAGATGTTCTCATTATTCTATGAATTATTTTGGACTGGCATTTTCATTTTTGTTGTTTTAATAACTACCTTTTACTTGTATCTACTTCCCAACCTTTCTAATGTCTTAACTTCAAAGATGAATTATTGTTTATGGTTGTAAAGGTAAAAAAAAGAAAAGACTGTCAACTTATAGTAGCAACAAACATCTGCAATAGATTTCTTCTGTCTCTCAACCGCAACATGTGTAGCCAAATCACAGCTCAAACGATAACCCGTCGTAACAGTCCAACAAGCAGTGTAGAAATGACAAAATGGGGTCACACATCCAGCTTTCACTTCTCGCCAGCTAAAACGCTGGGATGACAAAACAAATGATGCTCCCCTTAGAGATATGCTAGCGGAAGTCATTAGCAGGGTGTGTCAAGACGACCCAGTATGTGGTAAATGGTGCATTGACGGATGTGAATTTGACATCTATATCAACATGAGCTCCCTTGCAAAAGCAGTGTCTCTTGAAATAGATGGAACTGTCGTGGAAGACGTGTGTTGGTTGCATCCTGAGAAGGATATACAACATATCAACCTATCGGAATTGGATGCCGTTATCAAATGAGTAGCCACGGCCCTTCAGTGGAATGCAAAGTTGTTGCATTTGTTCATGGTTTCCGCATGCGTGCATAAGTGGATAGTAGACACTCTTACGGGGAAGGCCAGGATACGTACAAAGCTGCGAGAAAAAAGCTCATTCAAAGGTGGCTAGACACACTGGGAAAGTTGGTAAGTGAGTACAACTTATCAGTGGATATACAGCTGGTTAGATCAAATCGAAACAAGGCAGATAATTTAATAAGGGTACCCCAGAGATGGCTTGACGCTGTTAAGAAAGAGGTAGAGCTGGTAGGACATGTCTGTGCAATGTCAGCAAGTGACCGTAACTCAGATTTACAAAAATCTGTGCAATGCCAAAGTGGACATCCCGGTGTAAAACGAGCTCTATATTTTGTGAGGCAGATTGATCCTTTCGTATCTGTTGAAGCTTAAATAAGCATGGAATAATACAACACAAAGTGGCGTTAACAAAATGTATTGAAACAAAGAATAGGTACACAATATTTACAGTTAGTTTGGTATAGATAATGGGTTGACTAAATCGCAGTCGGCAGAGTCTCTGATTCAATTTCTTAATCTCTACTATCTTCCCCGTCTTCCGGTACTGTCGGGGCTTAGTGGTCAAGGCTAGAAGTGGTCAGAGAATGCAAGAAGTGTCAGTCCATCAACCCAGCACCTGTGCAATGGCCAAAAGGACAACTGAGTGTGAGCAAAGTGTGGCACCATGTTGGAACGGGCATCACCCATCATAATGGAACTCACTATTTAACCCTGATTGACTGTGGCCCAACCCGGTTCACTATTTGGCAACATCTGTGTCGACAGGATTCCACAAGCATTAATGACCACTTGTGGGCGTTGTTCTTTGAATGTGGACCTCCGACAGAACTCCTCACTGACAATGACACTGCATTCTGCAGTGGTCTAGTTAAAGTTTTTTTGGGTCCACCTCAGATTTTGCTGTGAATATGTCTCATCAGGAAATGACATAACTGAGTGATGCCATCAGAGTATCAAGTGAATTGCTGCTAGGAAGCAGTGTTCCATAATGGAAGCTGTGTGTTGGCACAATGTTACCCCTAAAGACAATGTATCACCCTCAAATGCGCCAACCAACATGATTTACCAGTACAAAGTCTGGCTAAGAGGCATTGACACGATGTGTTCAACTGAACTAATAAAAGAATGAGCATTGTATGAACTGGACGATCGCGTGTGGGCAAAAGCCCCACATAGCTGGTGTACAACTTGGTACTGGGTGGGGCATGTTACTGGAATAAGTAACTCGCACTCTGTGCTGGTTAATGGAATACCAAGACATGTAAAAGACTTGTGCCGCCATGTAGGTTCAGATACTTCAACAAGTGACACTAGCAGTGAGTGCTCAGGAAGTGAAAGAATAATCACCATTGGAAGTAGGGCTAGCACCTCTTCACATGGCGAAGACTCTGTGCATGAGGTTGTCAGATCAGAAGAATCCCCCGAAGATGAGTCTTCAGAACATACCACACAATCCCCTCCAACAGTCGCCCTGCTCCAGAGAAGCTCAAGAATAAAGAGGCCTGCCCCTGAGTGTCACTTATGTAACAGGGGGGAGTGTAGTGAAAGAGATAATTAGCTACTTCGAAAAAGAGTTTGTGTTTTGTGTGTGATCTGCCAAAGAAAAATTATCAAAAAGTAGTTAGCATAAAAATCCACTTTAAGGAATAGAATCTATGCTAATTTTCTTCCATCCCCTGAATAGTGTGACCAATCAGAAAGATCTCTCGGTGAACAAAAGCCATTGTTCTTCACTTATAAAGGCAGGAGATTTTCTGAGCTGGGGAGACAAACATTAGCATAGATTCTTTATAGACTCTTTCAGCAATAACTGACAATACTGGTAATTCAACCTAGAGCATTGAAAACCATATTGTTTGTTTGAAAGAAGAACTTGCAAGTTGAGATTCTTAACCAATCCATGATTGATTAGAGCCTCCTGTACTTTGCCAAAGTTTGGTACAGAAAAGTAATAGGTTAATATTTCAAAAGATCAGATAGTTCACCAGATTTCTTAAAAACTGGAACTACAGAAAAGGATTTTCAACAATCTGGAAAGCAAGAAGCAGCAAGGAATCGTCTGTAGAGCTTGGAAAGAACTGGAGCCAATTCAAAGGCATATTTTATAAGGAAAATTGCAGGGATACTATCAAGTCCACATGGTTTGTAGGAATCAAGTTTGGAGAAGATAGCAAAAACCATTGAAGGAGTTATGTGCATATCACTGAATAGAGACTCAATTCTAAATGGTAAGTCAGGCAAAAATACTCCTGAGAAGTTTAGAGTGGAATTGCAAGAGAACTTGGCAATGCATCCTACTTTATTGGCAGAAGATGATAGCACTTCAAATTGATTGACGAGAGGAGGGATTGAGGACTTACTCTCACTTAACACACACAACATTTACAAAATAATAA